CAAACTTTAGATCCGGAGCAAACAGAATTAAATGGTTAACCGTAAGAAATAGACTTTAGCGGCTGATGACAAAACCGGAAACAGGAAGGATAAGCCATTAACAATAAAGCTTGCACAATTAATCATACGACACAAAGACTCGAAGTTGGAAACCAATTAATACAACACATATCAAAACCATAAGGAGTAGACAAGAAGCAATACAACATGGCGCCCCAAATTCATACCTGTAGAAACTAAACAAGATACCTGACGAAAAAACATTAGGGGAGATACCCTGAAGAATAATAGGACCAAATACACCAGAACACCTTGCAGAATGAACCATAGCACAGACACCTTGGCAGTGCACAATACAGAAACAGTATAGAACGTAAACCTAGGGCATGCAAGAACCACCCTAAACTTCATCAGACAAGGATAGACACTAAGGGTATTCGATCAGTCCTACACAGCAAAACTGAATCCGAAACCATGGAATCTGAGTCGGACACCGTCAACATATGGCAAAGCATCCTAAGCATAAGGAGATCCGAACTAACAGAAAGAAGCAGGAAGAACGAGGCAGATATAAAAAATTAAGAGTAGGAATAAATACTAGAGAGTGCCAATAGACGATGAGCCACAGGCCTCACTCTTAAGCCATCAGGGCTAAGCCATGGAGTATACAGATTAGTAACAGAAACATGAAGCCCGAACACGACACGCTAAATCCTAAAAACCTAAGAATGATCACAGTACCAAAGGCGTCTAATCAGTAAATCTTACCCGCCTAAGATAACTTATCGGACAATACTAATAAACACTAAGAAGTAAAGGAAGTCCCCCGGCAGTACATGGGTACCTCAAGGCCTAAACATACAGGAGAGAGCCTGACCACAACACTAAGGAGTGGAACCAACGGGATAAAGAGTAAAGCATTAATCCTGAAGAATGAAGGATACAAAGTGAACAATAAAACCTGACAGCACCCCACACCACCATAAGCCAGCAGCGCGATGCCATGGGAAGAACCCAGATGAGCAAGGTGCTTAAACACTAAAACCTCACTGCGTACAGTAGAAGATTGAGAACCCAGGAATCCAGGTAAAACATATAGGAAGAAATGTACTGTTTAACAAAACTCAATAAGATACGAACCCTCAGAATTACACAAATCTAAGCACAAGAGAAGGGTAACAGATGGAAAGCAGGCTTAAGAAATAATGAAAGCAACATAGAGCCTCAACCGAAACGCCGACAGCAGAGCCTAAGCAGTAGAGATGAAAATCATATAATAAGTGGAGAAGACAAGGACTGACGAACTACTTCTGCGATATACATTTCAAATCTTTACGCCTAAGCATTGCATGTGCTCGACGTTGCAAATAGTATGAAACTTATTTCCTGCTCAATTAGCCATAAGCAATACCTGAAGCCCCATAGAGGTTAAAGCCAAGGAATTAACACAGGAAGAAAAACGCTCAGACACCAAGGCCTAAATCCAAGAACAAACACTTAATGCTTCTAGGCTAAGAGATGAAGCCTAAGAAATGAAACCTAAGAAGTTAACAATACCTGCAGGGGCAATAACCAGGAACTATAGACACCCAAGCAGGAGCAGTCGCGTCATAAAAGATAAAATCTGAACTTAACGCCATAGTCTTACAGCATGAACATGGAGCCTAAATGTGCAACTTAGGCGTCGAACCAGGACGGGAACACCTAAGAAATTGAGTCGTAATGGAGAAAAAGAGCCTCGAAATTATAACCCTTAAACCGAAGAACATCGACAACAAAACGAAAGAAGTCATAAGGTGAGCCTAACAGGTAGAGAACAAGAGAGGAACCTGCAAAAGCAGGCAATAATGAATACAAACTAATTCAGGAGTAAAAAACAGTGGGGGCAACGTCGTGGGTCTGAAGTTAACAATAACTCATAAAGAATAAACCTCAACGCAAAAGATATGAAGATAAACCAAACAGACTGCAGCGGACCCACCCGCCATAACCCTAAGTCAATCACACTATCAGGTACACGTGCCCCATTAGAAGAGGCAGGAAACATTCCTGAGTCGTACACTGGACTCCTTGGACCACAGATCTAAATTCACAAAGCTAAATCCACAGCCTTACCTCCTACAGTATGAAATCTAAGACTAGAAGATAAGGCCACCCAATTAGACGCAACCGACAAAAGAGACAGGGCACCGTGAATCCTCCAAATCAAACCAAAAAGTCTACAAGGAAAGTGTCCTCAATAGAAGGAGAGTTAACGAAGGATGCATGATAGAGTGCAAAGGTACAGCTCCGAAGGTGAACCCAAACACATGAAAATAAAGAGGCAGTACTGAACTCGAACCCGAACAACATAACCTGAACGTAAGCTTGCGGTACAAGCCGTAGACGCTGGACATTGAGAATACACTTACGTCGAAGTAAGAACCCCTGAGAACTAGGAGCTATAGTAATAACCCATGAGGAGTAGGCCATAACGACTGTAGGCTAAACGTTGAAGGGCAGGAACTAAATATTAACCGCAGACAGCTAGACCATAGGCAATACACGGAACATCCTCCAGCCGGCATCTCTACGGGCTCCAACAGAAACACATCAAAATGCACACGAAGAACCGAAAACTAAACATGCCCCTTAAGAGATAATTCCTAAACCCTACCCCAACGAGCCTAAAACAGACGCCTGGAAGCAGGAGCCGTAACGCAAGGCTAGGACCCGAGACCTTAAGGGGCCGGCTTTGATCCCGAAAGGGGGAATATATCATCTACCTTCTAAACCTTAAGTCAGAATACGAGAAGAAAGTCAGTGAAGCCTAGCGGTGTAAAATCTGGATAACTCAGGCGGAAACCGTAGGAGAATATCTCAAGGAGCGCTTAAGGCTGAACGACCAAACCAGGAGGGTTAAGCAACCAAACAGGATGCCGGAACCGATAAAATAGGACGCCAACAGAAAAGGGCTGTCTCGAGACGGGAGCCAAGGAATATTTGACCCGTGGCCATGAATGTAAACGAAGAAATATAATGCATGAGAAGGGAAGGCGAAAAATTCATCGCTCAAGGCTAAAGCAGAAGACGCAGAAGGCTAAAGTATAACCCGAAACCCAATAGACCTAAGGCCTAGGCAAGGAACTTCTGGACCCTGAGCCGTAGGCAATAGAACATGAATACTGAGATACTCACAACTAATCCCCAAGAGACTAAACGTAAACCCTAAGCCCTGAACCGTGAGACCTAAACCCTGAAACGTAGAGGCTAAACCCTGAACCCTGAGCCCTAAACAGTAACCCCTGAACCGTAAACGAGAACCCCTGAACCCTGAGCCCTAAACAGTAAACCCTGAACCCTAAATCCCTGAACCCTAAAGAGTGAATCATGAACCCTAAAACCTGAACCATAAAAGTAAACCCTGAACCCTAGACCTTAAACCCTGAAAACTAACACGTGAACCCTAAATCCTAAACCACTAAACCTAAGACCCTGAACCCTCACAACTGAACCCTGGACCATCGGAACTGGACCCTGAACCGTAAGCACTGATCCCGAAGCCCTAAACGCTGAACCGTAACCATGAAAACTGAACCTAAACCCTAAACCTCAACACTAACCCCCTGGAACCGACCCCTAACCACCGTTTCGCTCAGGCTCCCCCCTGAGACGCCACGTCCCATACCATACGGACATTAACCCTGAACCCTAACCCCAAATCCCTAAACCCTGAACCTAACCCCTAAACCCAGAACCAAAAACCCTAAGACCCTAAATT